TTTCCGCAAGACACCCGCTGGTAAATCCGTATTATTGTTTTCAAACACTCGTCCGTCCATGACAGCTTTTTCCGAAACGGCTAACGTCAACCCGTCTGCCCCACACACAATCAGCTCTCACTACGGTTTCTATGGCTACCAATTTTGACCCCATTTAACCTAAAAAAATTCTGTCATCATTGATATCAAGTAAAAAGTGTGATTATAAGTTTGCGTGACCCACCACCACCAACGTATCCGTTATAATTACCTCGCTACGCGATAAAGGATGTCTGCAAACTGGACATTCTGGAGAACGACTGTTGAGAAGAGGAAGTCGGTACAAAGTCAAAACAGAATTCTCATTCATCGTGTAAGTTACTTCCTTTGAGAATATTCCTCGATGCACAACCTATCACCTGTGACGCTTGATTCTGAGGGCTACACTGAATAAATCAAACATCGCAAACAAATTCTGAATACTAAATACAAACTATTTAAAATAGACTCAAATTGAAATGGTCTAAATGTGACGCTGTGATCCTACTTCTAACAAATCGATAACCCACCTCAATTCAGTAGTGCCGAAATAACTGAGTAAATTATTCGGTTTGCATATGAATCGATCGGGCCGTATACAAAACTTGGAGCGATGTACAACTGATATTTGAAAAGTTCAACTAACAATCAGTTGGTAACGCTTTCAAGCAATTAATTGTCGCAAAAGAGAATAATGAAGAGTCCCTTAGACAGAAATTGACTGATAGCATCATGCTGGATTCAAACGAGCAAAACCTTATACGTTATGACCAAAACTGGCTTCAGCGCCCTTGTTCGGCCGTTACCTCAACCCGAACCATCTCCTTAGGCAGAATCCACAAAGTCTGTGACCACATCTGCCGATCCGTATGCGATCCTTCATTGTTAGCCCACACACAGCACATTTAAACTCCTCAGGAACTTCACTTGTTGACTCGAAATCATAGCCGCTAAGTTCTGGAACATTTTGGTCAGCCGCCATTGTGATCTTGGTTTTGAAACGAAACCGGAAGAGAAATTCAGTTCTGCGCATGTGTGACTTGCAGGAAACAAACTTGGTTCCATGACTCCCTCTCGATCTATTGGTATAATTTTGTCGCCGTTTCGAACTGCAACAACAGATTGTAAAGGAGGACAACAGGGGAGGGTGGGGGGAATTGTCAGGTAAATTAATGTCACACAACGGAGGCAGCGTGGCCGAGTGGTCAGCATGTCGGACTCCCAATCCGCCGCTCCCCGGGTTCTAGTCCCGCCCCGACAACTGCCTGGATTTGTTTCACGGAGGCTCCGAGGTCAAATCCTCGGCCATGCTTGTAAAATTGTCAACTGGTTTCCCTCTGGCCAGTTGGAATTCTTAACAACGTTAAGTTCAATTTGAAATATTTGCTCGGCACCACTAGCACTTGTGCTATTAACTCTGCCGAGGGTAAATAAAACGGTATTTTAGAACTAAATTCCTGCGATCCCTCCCAGGCGAGGAGTCATGACCGGTCCCTTGTTGGTAATTTGTGTTGATATAATTAACAACCGCCGTTTGCTCCAAAATGAGTATAACAGGCCATGGATTGTTAGAACCGGTATGGGCGCTCGTTCAATTTTTTCAAATGTCCTATGATGCTATGAATTTATTTGGTTTTTGTTTTGTTTGTTTGTTTTTTCGTTTTTTGTTTTTTTTTTTCCATTGCTTATTTAACACAGTACTTTCTAATCATTTACTTGAGACGGAAAGAATTCGTCAAAGGAGAAGCGCTTTGCCTTCTATGAATAAATTCGTTACGCTCCACGTGTAACTGACGCAATAGAGCAGCACGCGAACTTTAATTTAGTTGCACGCGCGGCCTCGTAACATCAGCGCGCGACCTTTATTTAGTTGCACGCGTGTATCGCAAGCGCTCACGAAAGCGCGGCGACAGCCCGCAAGTTGTATAAAGGTTGAGTTCGTTTCTTTTGTCATCAATTGACGCAAGATCTTTCAACTGAAAGCGAAGTTTTAGCCGCCGTGCTTAAACCCTTTTTAATTGTTCTAGTGATAGCGGCACCAAGGTAAATATTTTTTACGTCTTTTTGGGTTTATTTAATTAAGTAATTTGTATCCTTTCTTTGATTGTGATTTATCGTTTTGAAGTAAGTTAAGACTTAAAATTTAGTTTCAGCGAAAGTTGCTTACGACATCGTTTTACCGTTAATTGTAAATCTTTATTTTACCTTTGTCTTGTAACTTTTGAAATGCATGAAATGTATTTATATCCGATCATTTACACGATCTCATTTGTAATTTGTTTGCAGTTTTATTTTAGTTCTCACGGTGTTGGTTTAGTAAAGCAAGAACTTTAATAAAATTTTACGGACATCAGTTTGTGAACGCGTGATCACTAGAGCAATACCACGTTCAAAACAAACTCGCAGTGTTTCAAAATACGCATGAAGAATAGAAGATATCAAGATGATATTTAGGAGAATTTCATCTCTGAATTTTTCTCACCGCGAGAAGTGAACCACTTAAAAACCCACATGGGACTAGGCTTGAGATCGATTGCAAACGTTTCCCCGTCCGATGGTCGCCCAAAAACTGAGAGGAGCTTTCTATTTGACTTTCCTAAGGAATGCTGTGTAGTAGCTCTTCTTCAGACTCGTCGCTCGTTTTCTTGCTAAATCCCAAAGCTCTCTTTCGCTCATTCCATGCGTCTTAAGGTGGCTCGTACCGGTACGAGCCACCTTAATGGATCTAGTCAGCCTTATAATAGGGCGGCTTTCCATCGTGCAGGACGAATTATTTTGGATGGTTTCATCATCGCGAAAAAAAAAATTGTAGCCTGCAGAACAAGCGTAATTTTCTGGTGTCTTTAGGCGAACAGAGGCGAAAGCGTGGCGACTGCCAAGCGCGAGTGGCGCGCGAGGGGAAGAGAAAGCTTCGCCTGTGTGCCTAAAAGACGCCAAAAAGTTACGCCTGTTCTGCAGGCTACAATTTTCTTTTCCACAAATAAAGAACCTTCAGCTTAAGCTTCATAAATGACATATTATTTACTCACCTGAGGTTATCCGAGGCACGTTCGCGATCGCGAATGGCAGGTGTGCCGACACTTGCACCATGCAGGTCACCAACGTTATTATTGGTCCTATTTGAACTTAAAGTGCCCTCTTGCTCTGTTAATGCGTTTCGTAAAATAGATGTGGTTCCTGCTATGAGATCTTGATCTGACATATCAATAGATTAGCGGAAAGAAACACACGCCTAAGCTAAAAATCTGTACTTGTCCAATACCGCGTTTCAAGAGAAGTAAAAATCGAGAACTATCGCGTTCTAGAACATGTGATGTCAGTTTGGCGCCAATTTCACCGTAAGCCGCTG